CGGGGGCGCGCGGGGCGCCCAGGAACAGAGGGTGTTGCGAAAGCGCGCGCTTGCAGGCCCTGGAATCTGGGGGGCTTTTGAAGAGGAAAGGCAGGACAAAGGGGCGTAGGAGCTCATTCGGGGGTGGAAGGTAACGCAAAACAATATGAGCAAAGGCTCAGAGGTGGCATCTGTGTGACTGGGGAGACTGAATGTTTTGGCGCAGGGGAGCGACATGTGGAGGGGGAGGTTGAGACCAGATTAGGAAGCCTTGCGAGGCACACTCAGGAGACAAAATCCTGAGGGATTCAGTTTTTTATTTTAAAATACATATATGTTATATGTATAAATGTAATATGTACATCTAGAATCGATACAAAAGAATACCTGGAATACATGAAGCTGTGGAACATCATGAAATGACCACCCATGAATACCCCGCCCCACTTAAGGACTGGCACGTGCCTAGTACGGATGCTCTGGCCTGTGTGTTGGTGCCTTAACCCACCTTTCTGCCCCCTCCCCCACCCACGTAACCTCTCTCCTGAGTCTTCGATCTTGCCCTTGCTTTTTAAAAGTTTTTCAACCGCTTCTTTTCATCTCTGATACATTGTTTTGTTTTGGTTATTTGGAACTTTATAAAAATGGTGCTATAGTCTGGATGTTTGCATCCAAAATGTTTGGTTGCCAAAGTTCATATGCTGAAATCCTAACCCCCAAAGTGATGGTATTAGGAGGCAGAGCCTTTGGGAGGTGATTAGGTCATGGGGTGAAGGCCTCATAAGTGGGATTACTGTCCATATAAAGGAGGCCAGGGAGAATCAGCCAGCACCTTCCACCACGTGAGGATCTACAAACCAGAAAGTGGGCCCTCACCAGACCAATTGCAGGTGCCTTGATCTTGGACTTCCCAGACTCCAGAACTGTGAGAAATAAATTTCTGCTATTTATAACCTACCTAGTTTATGATATTTTATTATAGCAGCCTGAACAATCTAAGACAACTGGTATCGTGCTGTATGTTCTCTTCTGCATCTTTTTTCTTTCAAAGTTGTTTCTTTCTTTCTTTTTTTTTTTTTTCTTTGTCCTTTTTGAGGCCGCACCGCGCTCAGCCATTGAGCACACGGCCATCCCTATATAGGATCTGAACCCAGGGCGGGAGCGCTCCCAGCGCCGCACCCTCCCGAGTGTGCCACGGGCTCGGCCCTCAAAGTTGTTTCTATAATACATACACATTGCTGTGTAGACCTGTAATTCATTTTCACTGCTGTGAAATATTTCATATGTGAATATACCACAATTTATTGATCCAGTGATAAAACCACTTAGTTGTTTTTTGTTTTGTTGTGTTTTGTTTTCCCGTTTGGGGTAGGACACAACCAAAAAGAACCCAAATTGTGACCTGGTGTATGTATGCAAGAGATTCCATGGGATTTAATACCTGGGGGGGGGGGGTATGCAAATGTTCAACTTTACAATGAAACTCTAGAACCTTTTCCCAATTGGTGATACAAATTTCACTTCTACCAGCAATGTATAAGAATTCTTACTGATTTGCATTTTCACCAACACTTAGTACTGTCACATTCTTAATTGCTTCAGGTTGGTGAATATGAAATAGTATTTCACTGAAGTTTTAATTGCATTTCCCTGATCACTAATAAAGTTGAGACCTTTGCATATATTTATCAGCCATTTAGATTTTCTCTTTTAAAAAGTGCCTGTTCATGTCTTTTGCCCATTTTTCTTTGGAATTCTTTTCTTATTGATTTGTAGCAGTTCTTTGTATATCCTTGATACTCATCTTTAGTCAATTATACTTGTTTACAAAATTTTCTTTCAGATCATAACTTGTCTTTTTACTTTCTTCATGATGTCTTCTGATGAAAAGAGGTATTAACTTTATTGAAGTAGAATTAACAAGTCATTTCTTAATGGCCAGCTCTCTGTGTCTTTTCATGATGTCCTTCCTTGCCCTGAAATTAAAAAAAAATATTTTATCTTTTTTAATGTTTTTAAAATTTGCCTTTTTCATTTAATCTATTTGGAACTGATTTTTGTGTATGTAGGAGGCAGGAATCCAATTTCATTTTTTCATATGCATAGTTATTTATCTCAGCATCACTTATTGATAGTTTCTCCTTTCCAGTGATAAACAAGGTCACCTCTGTCCTGTATCAGACTTTCATGAATGAGCAGTAATATCACCAACTCTATTCTGTTCCACTGGTAAATGTGTCTGTCTTTGTACTATTATCATGTGATCTAATTACTACATCTTTATGATAAATCTTGATGTATGGATATCTGGAGATTCTTCCCTCCTTATTATTCCTCAGGAGTTTCCTAACTATCTTGGGCTTTTGCCCTTCAATATAAATTTCAGAATTTGCTCATCAAGTTGCTTAAAATACTCTGTTGGCATTTTGATTGGAATTACATTGAATCAATGAATTAGCTTGCAATTTTGACATCTGTCTTAGTCCATTTTCTGAAACTGGGTAATTGATAAAGAAATGAAATTTATTTCTTACACTTCTGGAGTCTGGGAAGCCCAAGGCCAAGGGGCCACATCTGGTGAGGGCCTTCTTGCTGGTGGAGACTCTTCTGCAGAGTCCTGAGGTGGCACAGGGTATCACATGGTGAGGGGGGCTGAATGTGCTAGGTGCTAGCTCAGGTCTCTTTTCCTCTTCTTATAAAGCCACTAATTCTGCTCCCATGATAACCCATTAATCCATCAATCCATTAATCTACAAATGGATTAATTCATTTACGAGGGCAGAGCCATCATGATCCAATCATGACGGCACCACCTCATAAAGGCACCACCTTTCAATACTGGCACACAGGAGATTAAATTTCAACATGAGTTTTGGGGGGGACATTCAAAAATAGCATTCTATCCCTGGCCCCCCAAAACTCATGTCCTTCTCACATACAAATACTCATTCTATCTGCACAGCCCCAAAGTCTTAACTCATTCTAGCACCACCTCAATAGCCCAAAGTCTCATCTGTGAAATCAAAACAAGATATCTACTTCCAAGATACGATGGTGGGACAGGTACAAGGTACACATTCCCTTTCCAAAAGGGAGAAATAGGCCAAAAGGAGGGGGTAATAGGCCCTAAGCAGGTGTACAGCCCAGCAGGGCAGACATTAAATCTTAAAGCTGGAGAATAATCTTCCTTGATTCCATGTCTGACATCATCTGTACACTGGTGTGAGTGCTGGATCCCCTCAGGCAGCCCCACCTTCATGGCTTTCCTTGGCTCAGCCCACACCTCAGCTTTCCCAGGCTGGCATTTCATGCTGGAAGCTCTACAGTCCTGAGGTCTTGGTAGTGGTCCCACTCCTGCAGCTCCATAGGCATTGCCCTAGTAGGGGCTCTCTGCAGTGGCTCCACCCCTGTGACATGTTCTGCTTGGACTGGCAAGCTGTTCAATATATACTTTGAAATATAGGTGGAATCTGCCATGCTTTTGTATCTGTTGTATTCTGTGGGCCTGCATAATTAATACCACATGGACACCTTCAAGGTTTATGTCTGTGCCCCCTGGAGCAATAGGCTGAGCTGCACATGGGGCTGCTTGAGCCACAGCTGGGGCTGCAGAGAAATACTCCACTGGAATGCAGGGAGCAGAGACCTGAGGTGGCCCTGGGCATTGACCCCATGGAGGACACCCTGAGCCTGTCCCCCCAAATCATTCTGCCCTTCTGTGCTCTGGGCCTGTGATGGGAGGGGCAGCCTCAAAGATCTTTCAAATGCCTTCAGAGTCTTTCTCCATTCCCTTGCTGATCCCTTCGCTGTGCATTTACCTCCTTAGCGAAAGGTTGCTGCCCTGGGCTGCTTCTTCCAAACAGTTTTTTACTCTTTACATGGCCAGACTGATAGTTTTACAAACCTTTCTGCTTCGTTTCCCTTTTGATTGTAAATTGTTTCTTTAAGTTATTTTTATCCTTTCACAGCTTAGCGTAGGTGGTTAAAAGTAGCTGTGCAGCAGTTTGAATGCTTTGCTGCTTAGATATTTCTTCCACCAAATATTCTGATTTATTGCTCTTAAGTTCTACATTCCATAAAGCATTCAGGCATGGACACA